CGAAGGTACTGCTTGAACGATGGATGTATGGGCACATGCAGATACGCATCCTTTAGGTCGATTGACGTGAGCCAATCGCCGGGCTGAACAGATGAGATCACCGAGCGCAGTGTCTCCATCTTGAAGGATGGTACTTCTAGCATGCGATTCAACCCCTTGAGGTTGAGAATCGGACGGAACCCGCCGTCTTTCTTCGGGACGAGGAAGTACGTGGAGTAAAATCCCGCCTGTTCCTCTCCCGGTGGAATGCGCTCGATTGCGGACTTGTCCAGCAGAGCCTGAACTTCGTCGCGCAATATGTCCGCCCTTGCCTGACATGACGGCACCGGAGTGCGGCGTATGCCGGTGAAGTCGGGCGGACCTCGCTTCCACAGTGGTAAATGGCCGATGCTGACCGTGGCCAGCACCCAAGCATTGTTGGTAGCCTTCTCCCATTCCGGCAGGAATAGAGAGAGGCGGCCTCCCACTGGGATATGGGGTAGGAGCGCGTGCGTTGTCCCGAGCAGCGGAGCTGACTGGGTGTGACACACGGCTTGAGCGGCAGCCTGATGGGTTAACGGGAGGTCGGGGCAGACCTCCCGCGCCCGCGAAAAGGCTGGGAGCTAGTCGAGGACTGCTCCTTGCCCCTACCCTTGGCGGACCTGCTCCTCCGCCTACCCCTACCAAGCGGCCGAAGCCAGCCGGCAGACTCGGGTGTAGGCTGCACCCCGGCGGAGGAAGGTGGAACGGGAGCGCGGGGGCGAGACACCCGCGGGTGCTCCAACAAGGCCTTAGAGTCCTTGAAGGAGGTAGCTGCAGCTGCAGCCTCCCGAATGACCTGCTGGGCCCCTGGAAAGAGGGTCGCTCCCAGACGGAAAGGGAGGGCCAGCAAGGTCTGCTGCGTCGCTGCCGAGTACCGAGACGTCGACAGCCACAGCCTGCGCATCCCCATGACTGCGCACATCACCGTCGACGCAGCAGACCGCAAAGAGTCGCGCGCGAGGTGTGCCTGCACTTCCGAGAGCTGACGGAGCAGCACGACATGCGGCGAAACGTCGCCAGCATGCCCCTCCGCCTCCAGGGCCGACCTCTGAATCGAGGAGAGGTAGGCCTCATGGACCACCACCCTGACCTGCTGACCTGCTGCATTGCACGCGTGCCGCAGGGGGGCGCCCGCGAGGGCAAACGGTGGAGTGAGGCGCCCTTGCCGAGCAGCCGGAGCTGCTCCGGAGGAAGCCGAGCCTCCCCCCAGGGCGACGGAAGTGAACACGCACTCGTCAACGATGGGAACAACGAACAGGGAGTCCTCCCCAAGTTGGTACCTCCGTACTAAATCCGGCAAGTCGAACCGAACACGGGTACCAGACAAGAGGGGCTCGACCACGTCCTGAACCAACGAAGGCAGAATGCGGAGCTGCGTCTGCGAGGGCTGCCGAGGGGCAAACGCCTCGCCTGGCAAGCGGAACTCAGCCGAGTCCGAGCGGCCAACAGGCACCGCGGCTTGGGGTAGGCCCTCGGCAATTCTTTGCCGGACCTCCCGCAGAGCCGAAGCAAAACGGAAACCACCGTCATGCTCCTCTACCTCCCCAAGCTCCATCGACTCGGCGCCCGAGCCCGAGTCAGAGGCTGGGTCTCCTCCGAAAGAGGACCCTAACCCCGACCCGGTGGGCGGCCTAGCGCTAGGAAGCACAGAGAGGGAAGAGCAGACAGAGCGCTCCACGTCGGCGCCTGGAAGCGTGCACGGACCCCGGTCCCGAGACGCTGGAGGCAGACCAGGCAGAACTGGTGCCTCCGCTCTCATGGGGCGGGAGTGCGCAGGGACCGGAACACCAGGAATACTCAACGGTCCCTGCGCCAACTCCGAGAGGGGGACTGGGAGCACCTCCCCCTCCGGGGCAGCCGAGGCGTCCGGACCCGAAGCCAGAGGCAACGGGTCTACAGACGCCTCAAGGCTGAGGGATCGAGCCGAGCCCGGCGATCCCACCCCCTGACTCTCCGCCCCCCGTCCGGAGTGAGCGAGGAACTCCTGCCGGAGACCTCCAACAGACTCACGAACGAGGGACTTCACAGAGTCCATATGCTGCTGAAACAATTTGTCCATTAGTGTCATATCAAAACCACCAGTACTAGCAGGAGAGGGGGTTTGGCTTCGGGATTTTTTTCCCTTACGTGACTGTTTCTTAGTCTTAGACGGGGGGACCTGCGTCAGTTCCCCACCCGCCTCACGCATCTCTTTGTAAAATAGCGTGTCTGCCGCCCTCCGCTTTTGGGCCCGGGGGGAAAACCCAAGACATATCGGACATGTGTCCGCGTCATGGCCAGTCTTTTCTAGACAGGCGACGCACTGGTCATGCCTGTCGGCCCGTGGAATGCTCTGTCCACAGACCGAACAGGATGAAAAGGCCTGAAAGCAAACACGCAAGCATGTAGCTAACGGCGGACCAGCAGCATATATACACGTAGAAAACATTGAAAAATACGTGAAGGCTACCACGGAAAGTAATAGTTGGTTCAATACGCAATATTACGACCACATGGCACGCTAAACTTCCCGCCATGGCAGAGCAACATGTGCATAAACCACGGGAAAGTTCGCGTAATATAATTAATACAAAGTCACAATTATGAAACAACCAACTGTAAAGCTTTACTGTTCCTTTCATAGGCAAATAAAGACCATACATACAGGTGGTGTCTCAGACATAGTCTTTTTCTTTCTCAGAAAGCTCAGCTCTATCAACACTGTACGGCTCATGTACGTCTGTTCATGGCAGTGACAGCAGAAGGAATGATGATACGGGTCTAGGAGCCTACCCAGTTGGTGCGCATGCGCAACGGGAGGTAACTCCGTGAGGTAGGGGCCGTATAATAAATAAAAGAGTTTATTTATTGTTCAATCTTTTTATTTAAAAAACATTGATACAACTGTCACAGGACATTTTTCAGCCGGAAAATGCATAATATGTACCCCAAGGACGATCTCTATAAAGAAGAATCTACTTTATCTCAAAGCCAACTGGGAAGGTGTCTCGTCTCGAAACATTTGCTCACCTCTCCTTGGGTGTTTCCAACTCAGACCTTAAAACACCTCTCGTGTGCTCCTTATACGTTACATTCTTTCCCTTGAACAAAAAGTAATAAGATTACTTTTAAATAGGATAACAACCCAAAAGATGTACATAAAATCAGTCGTCCATTTTCATGGCACAGAGGTATTCCATGTCCCTCTGAAACTGTTACTCCCGGCTGGCTGCTCTTGAAGGCAAGCTCCGACGATGAGCTTGCTCCTGCTCCCCGGCTACATCACGGGACTCTGGATGTGCTGGTGGGAGGGCATCTCCAGGGTTGATGTATTCCGGGTTGTGGGGCCTCCCTGACCTTCAGGTCCGTCCCTGGGGGATGCTGCCACAGATGATGCTTTGCGTGGCCCTTGCATCGGTTTTTGCGTCCACATCGGGAGCACTGGTAATATCTCCTCGTCGCCAGGTGATGCCTCTGCCAGTGGTCCATAAGACCATTCCAGCGCTGGAATACTGATGTCCCACAGGCAGCGACGGGGCAAGGCATGCCTCCTGGCGGGAATGGCTCCCTTAAGCTTTCTTCAAACGCCTTCAGTTCTTCCTTTGGTACTGTGATCTCCATTTTCTAATACAGAAAATACACACCACATCAAAATAATTAAAACAGAACAAACGAAAGTCTTCCCAGGATCTGGGTTTATCCTGAGGAAGGTGAGTACACATCCCAAGGGACAGCCGTAACCTGCATGTCTCCGCGAACACTGGTAAGAAAGATCCATTTAATATACCAGAATTTATAATTTATACCCCGAACTAAGTTACTAACCCTAGACCACCCCTTTCTAATATCTATAGCACCTATTATACTTATCCCCCGTTACAAATATTGTTACGATGCCTGGTTTCGAACCTGCAACCCTTCACTTACTAGCTTGGCGGTTTTATTCACTAAGCTACGAAGGATCGCTGTGAAGAAAGAGATTGTTTGTCACTATGAACCATGTGTTCCTTACAAAACGGGTAGCACATGCAAGGCACGGTAACGCTGCCAGTCGCACCCAAGCATCCCAACCGACCAAAGATATATCTAAAGTATATCTTCGGTCGGTTCATAAGTTGGATCAAAACCCGATCTTCGGTTTTGTTGGAGAAGTAAGCCCTTGGCCTCCCCAATTTCCCCCTGCTCGCGGTAATTGGGCAGGTAGTCATTTTACTGATGCATTAAATCTCAGCTGACCAGCATTTTCATACAGCAAATACCCTGGACTAGTCCAAACACATGCACTCACACACTTATAATGAATGACTGACTGAGTTTGGTTTTATGCCGCTTTTAGCAATATTCCAGCAACATCACGGCGGGGGATGGGCTTCACACAGAAATGGGCTTCACACATTGTACCCATGTGGGGATTCGAACCCGGGTCTTCGGCGTGACGGGCCAACGCTTTAGCTATTAGGCTACCCCACCGCCCCCACGTATAATGAACGCGACGTTATATACCATTTCACCTCCTGTTGGTGGTTATTATGTTTTCGCCTGTGGCGTTGAATGATATTCTTGATAATGTTGTTGATAAAACAGTTTCATAAACTCCTAGGCAGCATTAAAACAAGTGTCACGGACTAGCCCTACAGCGTCATCATCAACATCACAACACAACGTAGTATGAAGATTAACAACATACGTTTATTCAAAAGTTATTACAACACACATTTTCACACATGAAACATCCATCTTCACACTCACCGTACACGCCTTGCATGACCCCTACAAGTAAACCCTATTCACTCACACATACAGTAAGTTTCACCCGACTCTCAATAACACCTTCCCAACACCCATTTCATAACACATCACCCCACACTGACAACCAATTACTTTACAGACCCACAATGTGTATACGAGTTCATGAATTCACACAACAGATATACCTTGAGACGGAACATAGGTATGACGTAATGATCACATTTAAAAATAAAGACGTTAATAAGGTGCCAATGATCGAATGTTTACAAACTGAACAATAATTCTAATGAAGAAATATGTCATGGACAATTCAACCATAGGAGAAAAAGACCAAAGCACCGTGGAGAAAGGCTGGAGAAGAACCGTCCCCCAGAACAGTTACCAACCATCACACGGGGCCCGTTCGAGTTGATTATGTAAGTGACCCGGAAAGCCGTGCAAAATCCTTCAAGCGAAGGAAGATCTTACTGGAAAAGGTATGTAATTGCAAAAACATGAAAGATATACTCACCGGCGTCATCGTCATCCAGCATTGCTTTCTGTTGGTCCAAAAAGTCAACCATCTCTGGCTTAGTTTTAGACTTTAGAGCTTTATGTTCCGCTTTTACCTCTGCATTTGGCTACATGCAATAACAAAATGTAATCACTGTTGTATGACACTATGAAAATATCAACGCTGTAAAAAACACAGAATGACATACTTTCCGAGTAGTCCTATGACACAATAACATTATACTCAAAATGAACTTCCAACCAAAAATAATACATAACAATTGAAACAGACATATGATGTCCTAAGGACCAGTCAGTAGAGTGATCTCCCCATATGGTTGGTCTCAATAACGTAATCATCTGCATATGCAGCAGGTAGAATTGATAAACATGCATCATTTACATGTGTAATAGGCTTCTCTGCCCAGTGACAGTTGAAGCTTGCTATAATAGGGTTTAGGACCTTGCGTTTTGTACTTTATGTGGTGATGGTAAAGTAGCCAACTTCACATAGGCTCTATGAATCAGGCCTCATTGCTGGTAAAAACACAAATAGAAAAGAGAAACTCAATAATTTATTTACAAAAACCCAAACCTATCCTAACCTAATAACCTAACCTAATCTATACCTAACAATCTAACGTAACCGCAAACCCTAATGAGACATGGCTCTGATTTCAGAGCCTTTGTCCAAAACAAATAAATATCTTAATTTCCTATGTAACCAAAAGGCCTATATACTTGCTCTGGATTACCAGGACTCAAGCAACTGAAATAAATGTCCTCACCTCTGGTGAACCAGTTCACTAAAGACGAGGAGTGCTGTGAAGCTACCCCCTTTGTAGGGCTAGAGGCCGGGTGTGTTGTGGCTATGCATGTCAGCATAGCCGAGAACACACTAATAACACATGTTATATTAACCCAACCCCCAATATAACTCAAACATTACCCGAAATATCCTAAACTACCACACATGAATATGACCCCCTGATATGATGCAACTAATAACATGGACCCAAAAATTGTATAACCTGCATACGTTTTGCCCAACAGTCTGTAAGAACCGACTCACAACGATGAATGGAGTGTACGTAAGAATAATATATGTCCCTAGTATGGATAACGCATTCTGATAACCATTGAAACATGTGCAAGTCAATATCGCTATGAAGGATGATTGTAAGAAAATACACCTTGCTACATACATTAAAAGCCTCCATTACACAACTGAAAAAAATATGTGTTCTTTTACCTCAATTGATGTGACAATTTGATCTATCTCCGCCGCAAACTGCGCCCTGCTCATGTTAATGGGCTTGTTGGCTTCCTCTCTCAGCCGCTGTAATGATGACCTTTGGCAGTGCCAAAACGTTGCAATCAGCATGTCTCTTTTCACTGCAATAAATATAATGTACATTACACTAATGTGAACAATGGCATATATCATCGATCACAAAGAATAGTACTGTATGCAAGATACTTACATGTACAACTGCCTGTTCTCATAACAATGATGTCGACATCGCACTAGATGGACATCCAGCAGGTCCCCAGGATTGAGCCCGCTGTGAGGACTGGATCTCCATGGGTTGATTGAAGTGGCCAACACGTCGAATCCAACGACACTATCGTAGAATTGCACACTGTAATGATTCTTCATTAATAGTGGAAAACTGGAAGGCGTCGTGGTCGGTGCCAAGTACGGTCTCGAGCATCTGCAATACATGCGCCAGGATGACTAATAAGTCCTAGGCCACCATTGACACAAGGCTCATGCAGATAATGAATGTTTTGCAGGCGAAAGAGAAACACTTCATCACCGGGGCCCGGATATCCGCACCCTCACCATTGAGCCTGAGATGGGTGGGGAGACCCAGTCATTCATGTCACTTCTAGACGATCAGATGGGTATGACATGTATATTGATATGTGTAACATGTTGACACAGAAATGGAATTCAATTTTTATTGGAAAAATGTTAGGTAAGAAATAAATACTAACACATTGACGTATGTCAATTCAGTGCGATTTAATGATTATTGTCATAGGTGAAAAGTCTGAGATTGCAGTAGAAATGTCAGTGAGTGAGTTAAAGTTTAACGTCACATCAGCAATATTGCAGCCATATCGTGACGAGAACAGTTGATATCGATAGGCAAATCAATAAATGTATAACGTAAAAATCTGTCATCGAAGGACAGTAAACTAGAATATCACAGATATACATGTAAAACTAGTAATTAAGTCTAAAACATTCCAACTATAGGGGACAACACAATATAAAAACAGGCTATAGATCGCCAACAACTAAAAGTAGATCACCAAACTAGGGACCATGGGAGTAGAAATGTGATCATATGTTTCAAATGATGTTCAATATGTAATGATGCTATAAATTAACGTATTATTTGTCATTTTGCCAAATTGTTGTGTCTACCTGCTATTGAGTAAGTGCATTCACTAATGGAATTAAGTATATAAACAAATATACATAATAAGTTCATGTTTGGCCATAGTGTTTGTCATAAATACCGATAATCATTCATTTAATTTTAATATAAAACAAATGAAACTACACCTATCCATATTCCTGTAACCTCAATTTTCAAAACAGCCTGATTCCAGGTGAGGTAAGTAGTCCAACATTATGCTTACACATATATCCTGTTATGCTTTCATTTGTACATGTTGGGCGGTGGGGTAGCCTAGTGGTTAAAGCGTTGGCTCGTCACGCCGAAGACCCGGGTTCGAATCCCCATATGGGTACAATGTGTGAAGCCCATTTCTGGTGTCCCCCCGCCGTGATGTTGCTGGAATATTGCTAAAAGCGGCGTAAAACCAAACTCAGTCAGTCAGTCATTTGTACATGAAATTGGGATTGCTACATCCCTCATTGTGTTGACCTGACAGGCAAACTTGTACATCTCATGATGTAAGTTTCCCATTGTTATCTATCGTGACATACGCACTAAATTCACCTCCCCACTGATACAGTGAAGCCATTATATTCCATCACCAATGAACAATAATGTATCATTATATATACTCCATAGGAAGCTATTGCCACATATTTACTGTAATCATTCCTCCGTACATCGACAACTGTGGCACGCGGTGTTGACGATGTTTCCCGAACTGGTTTTCATTCACAATTATGAGAGGATATCCGTAAAGAGCGCTGGAAGGGACATAACTCTATGGGATTCGCTTTAACTAATAATCGTCTGCTATAACACTCGACATCCGTATTAACGCTACCTTGTATGAATAAAGTGTAAGTTTCTTAGACACCCATTGAATATAAATACATATCACATTTGATAGCAATAGTATGGCAGCACCCTTGGGTGGCTCTTCGTTATCATTATTGACATATGTGCATTTATTATGATAGTGATTTAACATGTCGTTATGTTATACCTTCAGATATCCAACACGGATGGACAGACATGAGGTTAGTTTTACCTCCACCTATTCACATTGTGAAATCACAGACCAAAGAAACCCAATATGATTTTGATAACGCTTCCAAAAGACAATCACCAACAGTAACGCAGGACAGTGCTACCAAGAAATGTAAAACAGACGCAACTATTTGCTCAATATGTGGTGTGCAGTATGGGTGTGCGAATGATGTGAGATTGATTGAATGGGTGGGGTGTGAGTATCGAAATGGTGAGAATGCGTGTTCATATTGGGGTCCTTGTTCAAATATCTTCTATTTACATCCTCTATCATTCTATTGTCAGTCACATAATCATAGCATACCCATTAAGTATACATGTTAATTCATCATTCAGGGCTACAGATAAGGGGCGTACAGGCGTAATGTAAGCCTCAAAATCAATTAAGTGCGACATACTATAAGATTTCAAGCGTATCGTGTACGTACATAAATACTTTTGTACGTCTAACATTTAATTTCCGTGCGTATCGTGCAAATGGAAATCTATTTCGGATAAATACTTGAAGTTTCTTTTGCGAAACCCGTTTTGACACATGAGGAAACCCCGACAGTAGGAATCACTTGCGTTGCCATGCAACGATATGCGTCACTATTTTTCGATTGGCTAAAAACTACACTGATCCTATTTATATCAAGTCGGACCTGACATTTCGCGCATCACACGGTCGCTCAGTTATTTCTCACGCGTCTTCAAATACAAGTACATGGTTGGAAACATTCTCTTCCCACAGAGGTTACTCCTGTCATATCTTCCTACATAACCTCTGTTCTAATACGGCCATATTTCCCGGTCCTCGTAAAATCCCCTAGCGGCAAAAGATCGCAACACGAATTATCTCCCTTCTTTCTATCCAATCAGAACACGTGTTACATCGACTTAGATTCAATTTGACTAACACAAGCAAATGCGGGGCCACAAATATCCCCCATCTGCCGGGGAATTGTGTTGATGTTACACACAAGACGTTTAATGGCTAGCTTGTCCGTTGTCAACGAGGGCGACGGAGACGCCATTGATACGCCATTACATGACCGAGTTCTGTCTAGAAGAAACGTTTGCGCATCGCGCTCGGGAAGAGGTTCTAGTTTTCCCGAAGCATACGGAAATTACCGAGGCCTTGCGAATGATCACTTTTGAAACAACGTCGCTGATTGCACAACTAAATCGGCTTGTCTCCAATCACGAGCCTTGAACGCTGACACCAAGAAAGGGTCGTATTAGAACAGAGGTTATGTAGGAAGATATGACAGGAGTAACCTCTGTGGGAAGAGAATGGGTTGGAAATAGTGATCGATGAATCGTCCAGACAAACCACATCACCAACTCGCTCACACAACATGTCAGTACTCCTTCAAAATTCTTAGTACACCTCCACTTGCAATATGATGTGCAAGTACACTCGCACCCCCAAAAGTCATCTGGAGCCCTGCATCATTCCATCGTTCATTCTCCATTATCATTTACCATAAGGATATCATCAACCTTGTAACTGAGAGAATGTGCAGAGAGTGAGTAGTGTATGAATGTGATTTTCATAAATAAAAAGTTAAGATGGTTTGATGCTTTGTGTTATTGTGTATACGTGCAGATAGTAATCTTATTATACCTTTTCAAGCTTATCCAGGTTCCTGCAACTCCTCCTCCACGAATGTTCTGTTCGAACATCTGGTGGCATCCACATTTTGACTCTCCTGTTCCTGGCTTCGAGGATGAAATCCGCACTTTCCCCTCTACACTCATGTCCAGACGCACTGAAGACTTCGGTTGAATGTATGAAATCATAAATATCCTCATTAGCAGAGTGTCGGAGGATGTCATCCTTCAAAATGATTTCCTGGTATGTTGTGCAATTTAAGACATAAAAAAATAGTTGATGCCACAGACCGCGATGCAAACATGAATCTAGTATTGTTGCGTCTGACAGAGGAACGGAATGTAAAGAGCGGGAAGATAACTGTTCTGAGAACATCCCATATGAACAGGTGTTTTGGGTTCTTAACTTCAGACATCCATGCCCTCAGATGTTGAGTGAGTGAGTGAGTGAGTTTAGTTTTACGCCGCACTCAGCAATATTCCAGCTATATGGCGGCGGTCTGTAAATAATCGAGTCTGGACCAGACAATCCAGTGATCAACAGCATGAGCATCGATCTGCGCAATTGGGAACCGATGACATTTGTCAACCAAGTCAGCGAAACTGACCACCCGATCCCGTTAGTCGCCTCTTACGACAAGATAGTCGCCTTGTTATGGCAAGCACATGGGTTGCTGAAGACCTATCTACCCCGGATCTTCACGGGTCCTCAGATGTTGAGCACTGGGTGGGCTATGGCTGCTCAAGCAGGCACGTACATATGGCAGAAGGAGCTCATCAAGTGTACCAAACATGAAGATCATGAGGAACATCCATGATTTATGGTGGTTTGCTGCTGACTGGGCAGAGGATAGCGCATGGGGTGTTCTGAACCCACACAGAAGAGCGATGTGCTTTATATATGGTATCCACAGAAGTTTGAAAATTGCTTTGGTTAAATTTAGTTCAATATGTCCGGGGCCAGGTATAAGCAGAAAATGTTTGAAGATGAGATGTTGTTTGAGTTCTGAATCTGGAAGATTACTGTTATGTGCCACATTGGGTGTCAGAATCTCAGTTATCCATGTAGGTGCCTTCCGCTGTCTGTATCTGTGCTTCCACTAAGTTGTGAAGTCGTGAATCAAGAAATTCATCGAAAAGAGGATTGACGATGTTGTCCGATTCCACGTAGTTTTTCAACAGTGATTCGTGTGACAGCCATTGGTAGGGTGACAGTTCTGGATGGGTTTGCATATTAGTCAGAGGATTTGAAATGTACATAACATTGGTTACTACACTCTGCTTTGTCTTATAATTGATAGTGATTCGCCAGTTCCTCTGTATGACTTGATTTGTGTCAAATACAACGATTACATCTGTATTGTTAGGGCACTCATTAGGGATGAGGGTTCCAACTTCAAGCCAATTTCTTATGGTGCCATATGATCCACCATTAACGAGGTTTGTTATTGTCTTACTCCCACTGGAGAAACAGCACAGAATGTTCAGTAGGAAGGCTACATGTGTTACAATACTAGATTTACTGATGCTACAGAGATTTTCTATACTGCGCTCAAAGAGGGTTTTTCGGGGATAGCTGGTGTACGTCATGACCAAGCAGTGCCGAAAACAGTGAAATGTGTTTGTCAGACAATTTTGACAATAT